AAAAAAGAGGGAAAATCCAGCAGAAATCAGCAGACTTGACATGGGACCTGTGAGATGCTCTGGCCCTTCATCTGATCCATCCACTGTTCGCCAAAGCCTCATCAGAAATGGTCTCAGTGGAAGGGTGGCTGTCAATAAGCCATACTTAAGGAAGGGAAACGAGGAGGAAACACGGAGGTACGCCAGATTACACAAGAACTGGGATGAAAACCAGTGGCAGCAGGTCTTATTGAGTGATTAATCCAAATTTGATATTTTTTGCTCAAGTTTTCATCAGTATGTATGGAGACGGTCAGGAGAGAGGTGCAACAGTGAGGGTTACTGTACATCTGTGAAACATGGTGGAGGCTCTGTCATGGTTTGCAGCTGCTTTTCAAACAGTGGTGTTGGGCCTGTCGTCAAAATTATGAACCATCAGGTTTTGATCCACCGTGCATTACCATCTGCAAAGCATCTGATTGACAACAGGTTCATGAAAACACTGACAATGCAGTAAAACCTGGACAGGAAAAAACAATGGGATCAATCAGTCAGATCTGTTCTCCCCAGAGTGTAGACCTCAACATTACAGAAGCCGTGTGCGATCATCTCGACAGGAAACAGAACAAAAGGCAGAAACATCCAAAGAAGAGCTTTGAGTGTCCTTCAGAAATGTTCCTGGAGACGACGAAAGAGTTCAGACTGTTTCGTAAAAGCAGTCAAACCAAATACCGACGTTCAAGCTTGTTCTATATAATTGCCTCATATACTGTATCTCAATGTAATCACTGCACCTAATTCCCATTTTCTTCACAAAATATCGAGACATGAGGGCTGGCTCAAGATTTCTTCACAGTGCTGCATATTTTATCTATTTAACAGCAAGTTTCAGGTTAAAATCGTTGTTTGAAACCCACACCTGCATTAGAAAAGCTGTTTACAAACATATCAATGAATAAATATTATAAGCAGAGGTGATGAGTGTATCAGCACCTGGAGTTTGATTATGTTCACAGTAATGCAGCCAGAAATGACATGCATGTGTTTATGTGTGCGTTTGTTTGTCATCCTCTCCTTACATCTTCACTCGACAATCTCGCTTTAGACTCACACACATAAATACATACACACACACACGAACACACATGGACTCCCTTTTCCTGCAACCCTCCCTTACATACCACAGGTCTTACATCGTCAGTAGCTGTGGTACTGTGAGACTGGACGGCTGATTTATTTTTCAAGTTTAGCCCCCAAATTTTAAAAGTATGGGGCTGTCCAAGCATCGAGAAAACCACACAACATAATTCCAACAATTAATATTATAAGTTTATGAGTGAAGGAGGCAAGAAGCAAAGGAGAAAGAAGAATTAAGGCTTTATGTTTCATGCCACAATTTATTCCTAAAACCTGTGAAACTGCTGAAACACTCCAGTTCAGTGTTTTTTCTTTGGCATCATGTTGAAAGTTAATTAAAACCTCGTGTATTTTAATTCCCACAAGTTGTTCTTAACTTCCAAGTATGTCAGTCCCAAAAAATGTTTGGGGGGTTCTTGTTTTGTTTTTTAGTCCATCACACAGACGACTGCTTGAAGAGATCTATAAGTGCGAGAGATCATTTAACAAATCCATCAGCATTAGTGTGATGCTGATACGTTCCACAAAGCCTGTTCAATGTCACTGATTAGCTTTACATCTACTGTACACTAACAACAGTAAATACAACGTCACCCATAAACCACCGTAATGTTATCACTGATGACTCAGAGTAGATCACTAAGCAATCAACAAGCTGCGAGTGAGACTCCCCTGTGCTGGAAGGTATTCATTACAATGGCCTGTTAGCTCCATCCATCTTTGACTCTCTTTGCTTCGCTGCCAACTGGATGAGAAAGTGTCTATTTCCTCATCTGTTCTGCCTCTCCATTCAGATAGTGGTTAATAGGTCATCTGACTGACTTCCAACAGAAACACTCTGATTAAAAAGACATTCATCCTCTGCCCAGATAAGCTGCATTCCCCATGCTCTGCAACAGAAGTCCAATCAGCACACTCGTCCGCCCATGCTTTCATATAACACATGTGCAGAAACACATATGCAAAAATTCTTCTGTTTCTGTTTAATGTCTTTGCTAAATCAAAAGGTGCACTGAGAACTAACACGATTTGATGCCCCACAATTTTCTATAGCAGACACACATGCTAACAACTACTGTACAAACAACTATTCTGTGTGTTCATAGCAACTCTGCAGGACTACAATGGGCCTTGATCTCACAGGCCGGCTTGCATGTGACCTCTGACCTGTGCATGCCGACCAGAGGTGAGGGTTCGTGCTGATAGCAAGGACTGGCTGACACTAATAAGACAGCGGGACCAAATAAGATGGATGAGCTGAGGGGAAAAGGAACTTTTCCAACGATCCAGAACGTTCGCGGCCCAGAAATCGCTGCACACCCACATGCACGGACACTACACATGCACCGAGCGCGATGAGCATGCGTGTGACCAGGTCATGGAAGTTGCAAGTGAAGGGCAGAAAAATGTAAACAAAACAAAAACATCCATTCTTGCAGAGATGCACGGAAAAACAGAGTAGAGTGTGTGAACAAATTCTGCAGGAGCTACTGCTTTCCTATGACTTGATGCTCAGGAGTTCCCACAGAGTTTGAGTCAGCGCATGGTTTCCATGCCAGAGCAGCCAGTCTGTAAAATGGGTAATGAATGAGGCAGGAAACTGTTGGATCCAGAACACACAGCCATGCAAACTGATTCCAAACCATTCAGAACCAGAACAAGTGTTAACACACCTGATGAAGCCCATGTGTGTGAAAAATGATTGTTTTCATATTATGTTAAACTCATGCCTCATCTTTGCAGCCTGTGATCCACAAAAAGACTGATTCACTATTAATCTACAGACACACGCCTAAACACCACTTTAAATATCACATTTCAAACTCAAAAACATTCTCTGTACACATTTCTGTGCTTCTTTTTCACCCAC